CTTCCCCAGGCCCTTCCCCTCTACAGTTGTTTACTATCTCACAATAACCCAATTATCTTCTATCTGCCTTCCTGGTCCAAGTATCCAGAACCAATAAAGGAAACTGCAAGAGGTCCTCAACACTCAGCCCAAGGAAGTTCCTTTGTGTTCTGAGAGATCAGGATGAGGTCCACCAAAATAGGGAGCTGGGAAAAGCTCTTGGGAGCTTTCTTTAGCCTCCTATATAAAAATAGCATTTACATGGACTTTGACATTTGCAAAGCACTTTACAGGCTAGCTCATTTGATCCTTGCAACAACCCTATGAAGAAGGTGGTATAATTCCCATTTTACAGATGAGGCTCAGAGAGGTTAGGTGACTCTGCTAGTATTACATAGTGCATAAGTAAGTGGCTAAGGCAGGATTCAAACTCTGGATTGTGTGGGTAGATGGTTTGCATCTTAAGGGAAGGGTCAAAAGAGGACAATGCTTTACTCAAAGAACTGATGGAGGGATTTCAGGCACTTTGAGCTCCTGGGTAGAAAAAAAGGTGAGAGGGGGGTCTTATTGGCTTCTTCAAATCACACCAGGCAGCTAAAACCTCTCAGCTCATAAGGGTAGCCTTGGTGAAAGGACCCCCTATAGTTATCATGGATTAGTCTAATAGCTAATCTAATCCCAATCCCCAGGTTTTGGGAAGATTTATATGAACTAATGCAGAGAGTTGAGTAGAACCAGGAAAACATAATCACACAGTAACAGTAATCTTATGATAATCAATGATGGAAGATTTAACTACTCTGATTGAGACAATGATCCAAGATTATTCCAAAGGACCCATGACAAAAAATCCTATCTATTCAGAGAGAGAACTGATGAATTCTGAGTATAGACTAATGCATAGTATTTTTTAAAATTTTCTTTATTTTTCTTGTGTGTGTGTGTTTTTTTAACTTGTGTTTTCTTTTGTTGGTCAGTTGTTTCAGTCATGTCTAACTCTTCATGGCCTCATTTGGTGTTTTCTTGGCAAAGATACTGGAGTGGTTCGCCGTTTCCTTCTCTGGCTCATTTTATAGATGAGGAAACTGCGGCAAACAAAGGTAAGTGACTTGCCCAGGGCCACACAACTAATAAGTGTCTGAGGCCAGATTTGGACTCAGGAAGATGAGTCTTCTGACTCCAGGCCCACATTCTATCCACTGTGTCACCTAGCTGCTGTATGTATGTATGTATGCATGCATGTATGTATGTATGTATATACGTATGTATGTATAGTCATTTGCTATTTTTCTTTTGGAGTGTATGTATTTGTCTCCCCATTAGGCTATGAGCTCTCAGAAGGCAGGGTCCATGTTTTAAACTACTCTGTATCCCAGCCCCCCACCCCCCAGTATCCCCAACAGGGCACATAAGACATACTCTGAGCAAAAGGCTTGTTGACAGACCTAGTGAGGAGTGTGCAAGAGAGAGGGCCTACCCACAATTCAATTCAACACACATTACATTTTAAAATTTAATTGGGAAATTTTTTAACAAAATAAATAATATATATTAAAACCCCCCCAAAACCCCAGGTATATAATCTGAAGTCCTGTATTTGAATCCTGAATTTATCAATTGGTATATATTTGACCTTGGGTGTCTATTTGACCTTCTGTCAGTCTTTCTGGTGCCCATCTGTCAAATGATCTAGTGCCAGGGCTGAGGAACCTGTGGCTAAGAGGCCACATGTGGCCATCTAGGTCCTCAAGTGTGACCCTTTGACTGAATCCAAACCTCACAGAACAAGTCCCCTTAACGAAAGGATTTATTCTGTAAAACTTGGACTCAGTCAAAGGGCCACACCCAAGGACCTAGAAGGCCACATGTGGCCTCCATGCTGCAGGTTCTCCATCCCTGTTAGCCCCTCCCAGGACTTGTTATGAGGATCAAGATACCAAAGGATGCAATCCCTGCCCTCAAGGAACTTACATTCTCTACTCAAATGAAATAATGAATGGAAAAGGGCTCAGTCAGGAGTAAAGTGCTGCACACATACAACGTGGTCCCATGACGAGATGAAAAAAAGGAGAGAGATGAGTGTAGGGAAGTGAGAAGACGTGGATGGGAGGTGAGAGACTCCTGGGGCTGCCTCTCAGTCACAGCAAGAACATCCAACACATTTTTTCCTTTTATTGGAACCTAGTTTCATTGCCTACAAAATGAGTGGCTTGGACTGATCGATGACCATGGGCTCTTTCAACTGTAATAAATAATCTCATGTCCTAAAATGCCTTCCAGCTCTGACACTGGTACAACACTGCCACCTACTGGCCATACCCTTTAAGGGTATCTCCCAACACTTCTGCCAGGCTTTCCCACTGGCCATTAAGAGGGATTTTTTCAGGAGGTAAACATAGATTTAAAACCTAAAAGCTTAAAGATCATCCAATCCAATCCCCTTATTTTGCAAATGAGGAGACTGAGTCCCAGTGGTCACACAAGTCAGCAAAGTCAGTCAGCAGCAGGAGAAGGACTTGAACTCAGATCTTCCTTGGTCCAAGACCAGCTCTTTATCCACTCTGCCAAGCTGCCTCTCACATTAAAATATGGCACTTCAAGGTTTACAAAGTACTTTAATCATATCACTCTTCTGAAGTAGGTAGTGCAAGTGTTTTACTGATGAGGAAACTGAGGCTCAGAAAGGGGCAGTCATTTCCTCAACATCACACAGCTAGTTGGTATGCAACACTCTTTTATTCACCTCAAGGCCAGGGCTCTTTCCATAACATGCTGTTGTTTCCCAGGATTTAGTTCCTGCTTCCTCTAGTCCACCTTTCATAAAGGGCTCCTTGATCTATTATAAATTATGCCAGCAAACACGTGCTTTTATAGCTGGAAATTAGCTGCCATTCCTCTTCCTTGGAATCTGAGCACAAAAGGCCTGGGATCATTGCCCTCTTTTCCTTGGGAATGAGACCCACCTCCCCAGCTCGAGGTCTTAGACATCTGGGACAGACCTAGCACTTGTTTGAAGTAGCAGTATGGAAAGAGCTTTCTACCTTAGAGTAAACACCTGCATTCAAGGCTTTTCACACTGTGTGACATTGCACGATAAATGAAGGAAAGTGTTGATGAATCCCCTGCAATGTGCCAAGCATTGTGCTGAGCCCTGGAGATTCTATACACAAAGTCCCTGCTCTCAAGTTGCTCATGCTCTGAGAAAGAAGACACATATAGGAGAATTCTGCTATAGAGAAGATGGAAGGATTAGGATCCTTTAGGTAAGATGCACTGGTGTGTCTGTCCCACAAGTAGCAGCCCACCACCATTGGCCTGAGGGTCAGACTGGAGAGGGGATTTTAGCTTCTCTGTGGCAAGGGGAGGGATTGCAGGAGTGTGTGGCAGTCAGCCCATGACTGCTGAGAGCTAATACAGCTTTGAAATTGGCAAATGCTACATATTAGGGCTCAATTAATTGCTCTGTTGATTATCTAGACTTAAGAAAATGATGGAGAAAATGTTCATAATGCAGATTAAACTTAATGTGTTGTGTGTACATTTTTTTCCTGGGAGAACCAGTTATTATATATTTGCCAGCACATCCTCGGATGATCAAATCAATGTTAGCCCAGGAGGGGAGAAGGGGGAGGGGCATGGTCAGGAAAGTTAGGAGTTGGCTGTGGGGGGGGGAATGGAGTTGGAGGGTGGTCTGACTTGGCACCAACTCCAGCTGAGGCTCTTCGGGAGCTCCCGGATGGGGTCACTTCCCTTCAATAAGCTTTAATTTTGTAAACATACAGAAAAGGAAACATGACCACAAAGGCAACCTGGTTTCATCAAAAGCAGGTTATGCCAGCCTAACCTTATTTTCTTTTCTTGACAGGATACTAAGCTGGCAGATGAGGAAAATGCTGCCGGTATAGCATACAAAGATTTTAGCAAATTGTTTGATGAACACCTCACGTTTTTCTTATGGCAAAATGGAGAGCTACAGACTAGATGTCAGCATAATTAGATAGAAATTGGTTGAATGGCTGGGCTTGAAGAGCGGTCAGTAGGTCAATGTCAATAGTGCCCTAGAGATCTGGGCTTGGCCCTGTGCAGTTTATTAATTTTATCAGTGACTTGGATAAAGGCATAGATGGCATGAACATCCAATTTGCAAATGACAGAACAGGGATAGATAAGCAACACCTTTCAAAGATGGAATCCCAGAAAGATTTCAATAGATTAGGACACTGTGCTTCATTTAGTACATGAAATTTAATAGGGATAAAGGTGAAGTCTTACACTTGACTTAAATACGAGATAGGGGAGAGGTGCTTAGATTTGGCTTTTTTCCCCTTAGATTGGTTTGAAAAGGATCTGGGGGTTCAGTGGACTTCAAGCTTGGTATGAATTAACAATGTTATATAGCAGAAAAAGCCTATTGTGATCTGGTCTGCATTAACACATGTCCAGCTTCTTGGAATAAGGAGGGGATAGGCCTGTTGTATGCTTCCCAGGTCAGATCACATATGGAGTACTGTGCTCAGCTCTGGTTGCCACAATTGAGAAGGGCAGGGAGAGTGTCCAAAGAAGGGCAGCCAGGATGGTCAAGGGCCCATGCAATATGGATGTTGGTTGAGGGAATTGGGGATGTTTTTCCTGGGGTGGGGTGTGAGAAGAGAAAACTCAGGAAGGACAGAGAGCTCTCAGGTATTTGAAGGGCTGTCACATGGAAAACGGACTAGATTTGTTCCGTTTGCCCACAGATGGCTGAAGTAGAAGCAATTGGTAGGAGTGACAAAGAGGCCCATTTAGAAATGAAGTCAGGAATAACTTCCTGAAAGTTAGAGCCATTAGTGAGTAGGAGAGGCTGCCTTGACTCTCCTTGGTTAGCTTGAAGAAAGGGCTGGATAACCTCTCATCAAGTATGTTGTAGTGGGGAATCTTTGGGATCTGGGTTGGATTAGATCCACTCTGAGATACCTTTTCCCCCTGAAATGCCATAAGCCTGTTTTCTTATCTGTAAAATGCAAATACCTGCACTCCCTTCTATCACTGCCTACCTATGACATAGATGTTTCAAGTATTGCTAGCCTCATTTTACAGGAAGCTGGAGTTTGTAAAAGGGATGTGACTTGCCCCAAATCACTCCAATGGGGATCTGAACATACTTCTAGTTCCAAGCCCAGAACTCTTTCTTCTACCCCACACTGTCCTGGTGATGACAGAATTTAGAGCTAGAAGGGCCCTCAGGGGTTAGCTAGTCCCCCTTTGACAAATGAGGAAACTGAGGCCCAGAAGGGGGAAGTGGAAGATCAAAGTTACAAGGTTATTAAGAAACAAAGCTGGGATTTGTACTCAGGCCTCCCAGCTCCAGGCATGGCTCTTCTCCCTGCACCACGTTAAAGTAGAGTCTGTGCGTGTTGGAGACAGTGAGTGGATGTTTGAAGGGTTCCATGCCTGCAACATTTCCATCTCTAGCTGGAGCTTTTATATGAGGAAAGGAAGTATCCAGCAGAGTGTGTGAATGTGAGTGTCCAGCAGACCAGTCACGTGGTCATACAGTAGGTGCTTCATAAATGCTTGTGGACTGATTGATTGAGATGAATTAATAGAGGGTACAATAGCTTTGCTCAGGCACGCCTGAATGTCCTCCCAAAATGATTGGCAGTCTGTGTCTCATTAAATTTTTTAAAAACTCTTAAAGTGAAGTTTAGTTGCTATTTAAAATATAAATTAAGTTTTGATAAATAAAAATAATGTCCTTTATTGTTGCATATTCAATTAATGTTCATCTTTAAAAAATGTTCCCTGTGGGCACACCCTAATGAAAGGTGTTGCACACTCCTGTGGTATCAACACAAAGTGATAGCATGAAAAGAGCATTGTATACGGAGTCAGAAGGCCTGGGTTTGCTATTATTACTTGTGTGTTCTTCGGCAAGCTACTTCCTTTCTCTGGCCCTCAGTTTTCTCCATGTCCAAGTGAAGGGGTTGTACTAAGAGGACCTTTCAAATCTCCTCACTGTAAATCTGATGATCCATAGGAAGCCCTGGACCTCACTGAAGCCTGGAGCATAGGCTGGTTCTTGGGATGTGGTTTATGGGCTAAAGAAGGTCACCCCATGACCAACAGTAACATTCCCTTACTGCAGCCCAACTGCTTCCTGCCCCCACCCCTCCCCTAGCTCTGGATGAAGAGGTGGAAATTGGTTCGAGTAAACTCATGGTGGATGCTTTCCAAGAGGGCGTCTGCATCAGGAGGTGGCTCAGGGGCTCCTGAGGGGACTGGCCGGCCGCTCTGCTCTGGAGTAAAGGTGAAGGAGAAGGCGCTGGAGTACAACAGTCCATCTGCACGAACCAGGCTCACTGGCACCGTAATGGGGGTGCGCAGCCACCGCCAGGCACTACCAAAAGCCGCCACATCGGGTACCACACATACCAGGGACCGGGGACTCCTGGAGGCACAAGTCAGAACACAAGAAGTCAGAGCTACAAGGAACCCTAGAACATGAAATAGATGAGATCCCAAAGACTCAAACATAACCCCTTCATGTTACAATTGGGGAAACCGAGGTCCATAGAGTCAGACTTAAACTCCCAGAACCTCCCCAGTTACCATCTGTACCTGTACATGGTCTCAGCCTCCACGTCACCAAACCACACCTTGAGTCCTGAGTGGAAATTCTCACCCAGCAGCTCCAAGGTTGCTACGTCACCCCCACCACTAAGCTGTGGGGCAAAGGGTCTTGAGTCAGGCTAGCACTGGGGACAAGGGACCATAACCCTCCCTCTTGGGAAGTGATATGGCCAGATAGTCCCCCTAGACTGGGGGAGGTGGGGGAAAGAGTTCCTGGGGTTGTGTCCAGGTGAGTACCTCTAAGGTACTGATGAGGGGCACTGGGGTGACAGGCTCCCGGGGGCAGGCAAGGTTGGTGCTGAAGGAGAACTCCACTGACTCAGTGCCAATGATGGTCCAACATGAGCTGTCATTCAGCAGTGCCCTGTTTGCTTCCTTGGGACAGGGTGAAGCCTAGGAGAAAGTGCTAGAAGATGAGTGATGAGGCAAGGAGGGGCAGGGGCCATCAGTGAATCCCTGGGGCAGACAGGAGCAGATCCCCATCTTCCTACTCCCCTCTACTCCATCTGCAGTCCAGGAATTGATCTTAACCCTACCAACTTACTGTGTGACCATGGGCAACTCACTTTCCCTCTTGAGACCATATTTCTCCCTCTTGCAGAATGAAGAAATTGGAGGATATTTTCTCTTTATAATATCTCCCATGGAGATCTCTCTCTCACTGCCACAGATTCAATTACCACCTCTATGTAGATATTTCTCCAAGCCTCATGGATCTTCCAAACTTCAGAACATTTCCAAGTTCTTTCAGAAAATCTCTATCAGAATGTCCTATCAGCAAATCACACTCGAAGCCTCCAAAGCAAGGCTTTCTCCTAAATCTAGTCTTTCTGAATCCATTAGTTCTGTCTGTACTGCCAGCACTGAACTCATCACCTGTGTTTTAATGCCTGGGATTCTTTTTGACTCTCCCTGCTCCCTCACAACCTTTCAGTTATCAATCTCTTCCAAATAGACCGCGAAAGCATCTCTTGTGTTCATCCTCTCCTCTCTAGTCTAATGGCTGCAACCCTCATCTATGCCCTCACACCCACCTGCAAGACTATTCCAATCGCTTCCTAACAGGTCTTCCCATTACTAATCTCCCACCTGCCATTCACCCATTGCAGCGTCTGACAGAATAATTTTTCTGCTCTGCTCTATTTTCTGCCCACCCCTACCCTACCCACTGAACAACAACAAATATGCCAGGCCTTGGGCTCAGAATTGGGGATCTAAAGATACAAAAGAACACAGGCCCTGCTGCACTCTACTGGAGGGTATTACATGTACCCAGATAAGGATGAGACAAAGCAGGATATTTTAAAAGTAAAGAAGAGACCCGGATAAAGTGCTCTAGGAAAATTTAAGGGGAGAAAGATTCATTTCAGCTGTGAGGCAGTGGGGTAGGGGTTGGGAAAGAATGTGATATTACATGGAAAATATGTGGAATCTAAAGGTAAAGAAGGATGTCAAAGGATGGAGATGGGGAAAGAATGGAAGATGATCCAGGCACAGAGGCCGATCTGTGTGAATGCACAGAGGTGGAAGAGAGCTCCTTGAGTTCAGGGGACAACCAATAGTCCTTTGACATGGCTGAAATGTAGAATGCATTAAGGAGAGGAAAAGGAATTAAGCCAGGGAAGGGAGAATGTAGCCAGAAGGTAGAGGGGAATGAATGCCAAGCTAAGGCGTTTGTATTTTACGATATGGCAACAGAGGGTCACTGAATGTTTTTGAGCAATGATATGATAAAATTTGAAAAGACTACTGCATTCAGATTGTTTTGATAGCCCTGATATTCTGTGAAGTTCATTCTGGTGGGGAGAGGAAAGAATGTTTGAAGACAAAGGTCCTGGGTTCAAATCCCAGATCTCTTCCATGTGATCTTGGATGTTATTTAACCTCTCTGGGTCTCAGTTTCCTCATCTGTAAAATGAAGATGTTGGTCTAAATGACCTCAAAGGCTTCTTCAGCTCTAAATCTATGATCCTGTGTCCTGTATTTTAAGGTCTGTCCATGATCTGCTAATCTCCCAGTTTCACCTGGAATTGCACAATCTTTTCCATGGCAAGGCACAAGTAGGTACCACCCCCTGGACTCCCGCCTGGGAACTGGAAAGCACATTTGTGCAACTGGGAGATTGGTTCATCTACATCCAGGAGTGCACACTGTTTGGCCACTTTGCGGATGATCTGTGGGAGAAGAGGAAAAGAAAGCATCAAGGGACCCAGAGAGGACTTCAGAGCCAGACCTGCCCATTAAGAGGCCAGGACACCCCCCAATCTCCCAAGGGTCCTTTTTGAGCCCCTGTGATGGCTGCTCCTCCTGCCCCCACCCTATACTCTGTGGTCACAGTCACCCTCCATGTGGACCAGAAAGAAATCACCCAGGTCTAGTCTGGTCACTCAAGTTCATACCATGGGGGGCAGGGTGATGCCTGTGACTGTGCAGACCAGCTGTACTAGAGAACCATAGCGAACATAGCCCTCTTGGAGAGGGAATTCTCCCCGGGGACGATGATTATCAGCTAAGGGAAAGGAAGATGGTGAGTGTAGAGGCATCAGGCCTCCTCCCCAACCCCACCTCCAGTACCACATGTGGACCTTTTGGTCAGGTAAGTCTGATGTTAGGTGACAATAATAATCAACACTGATATTTCTGAGGTGCTTTATGGTTTACAAAGGGCTTTGCAGACGCAATCTCATTTTAGCCTCATAAAATGATAGGTGCTGTAAGAGTAATCCCCATTTTACAGAGAAGACTGAGGCTCAGAGAGGGGAAAAGACTTCCCTAAGATCAAACAGGTATTAAGAGACAACATGGTATAGTAGAAGGCCCACTGGCTTTGAAATACTATGGCCTAGATTGACATTCCAGTTCTGCTACTTAGTATCTATAGGACCTTGGATGAATCATTTGAAAATAATTGCTACAATGTCTCCAGTACTTTACAATTCACAGAGCACTTTCCTCACAACAAACCTGTGATGTGGCATAATGGAAAGGGCAATGAAGTTGGAGTCAAGGGACCTGGGTTTGAATCTCAGTTCTTCCATTAATATACTGTGTGACCTTGTCCAAGTCACTTCCTCACCTGTAAAATAAAGTGATCTCTATTTTTTTTGCCTTTTTTTTTGATGAGGCAAGGTCACACAGCTAGTAAGTGTCAAGTGTCTGAGGTCAAATTTTAACTCAGGTCCTCCTGACTCCAAGGTCAGAGCTCTATCCACTGCACCACCTAGCTACCCCTAATTAGGTGATCTCTAAAAGGAACTAGATGATCTCTAAGGTCATTTCCACTCTTAATTCATTATAATATCTATATCCTATATCTACAACTTTCTCTATATGTGTGTATATATGTACATACATATATACATACATATACATATTTATATACACATATACACACACACATCTATTTATCTATGGCAGGTAGGTGGCACAGTGGGTTGAATGCCAGGTTGAAGTCAGGAGGACTCAACTTCCTGAGTTCAAATCTAGCCCCAGACACTTTCTAGCTGTGTGACCTTGGGCAAGTCACTTAATCCAATTTGCTTCAGTTTCCTCATCCTTACAATGACCTGGAGAAGGAAATGGCAAATTGCTTCAGTATCTTTGCCAAGAAAACCCCAGAAGGGGTCACAAAGAGTTGGACATGACTAAAACAACTGACCTACATACGTGTGTGTGTGTGTGTGTGTGTGTGTGTGTGTGTGTGTATGAAATAAGGGGTGGGGAACCTGCGGCCTTGAGTTCCCTACCCCTGATATGTGTGTGTGTACTATGTAATTATGACTAATTCATAGTAATATGTTGCTTTAAGGTTCACAAAACTCTACCTAGTCCTATGAGACAAGCATTCTTGTCTCTATTTTCAGATAAGGATATTTCTCCTGAGTCCCTGCTTTCTTCATCAGCAAGATGAGGATACCCACACTGTTCCTAGCAGCCCCATAAAGGGCTGATGTGAAGGTCAAATAGGATCCTAAAGGGATTTAGTAAAGGCCATGTTGTTATATAGGGTGTCCCAAAAGTCTTAGTGTGGTTTCTAGCTCTTAAAACAAATTGTACTAAACATTTTGGTATATTCTGTATAAATGCAATCTAATGTAAACACAATTACAAGTATTTGGACCTAGGAGTGAATTTTCCCAGGGGACCTGGGGATTTCTGTCCTCTTGGGAGACTTTGGATGGAGTAGAGTTGTATGAAGGAGGGCAGGTAGGGGTGGATTGAGGAATCTCCTTGGGCCAAAATTGGTGACTAAGTATTCTTACTACCAGAATTGGGAGATAACAGAAGTCAGGAGAACTGGGTTCAAATTCTGGCTCCAAAACTTAGTGCTGTGACCATATGTAAGTCACTCAATCTCTCTGAACCTCCCTTGCAATAAGGGGCAACAATTTTTTTTCATTCCCCATCTCACAAAGCTGTGAGCAAAATGCTTTGTAAAGGTAAAATCACTATAGAAATATTAGCTAATATGATTACATGTCTGTATCTCCCCTCCTCCAAGGAACAATGAATTAGAAGATCTCATTCTCCTCTAAATTTCCCCCTTCCAGTTAAGGATGGCTTGAGAGAGGCATTGGAGGTATGGAGGAAAGAGGCCTTGGCCAGGAGTCAGAACACCCCTAGCTCTGTCCCTACTGAGCTATGCTACCCTAGGGTAACTGACTTCTCTGATTCTCCTGTGTAAAATGAGCTGACCTCTGGGATCCCTTCTGGCTCTGATTTTATGACTGATTCAGTGATTCAGCAAGAGGTTGGTTGTGACCTTCAGCTTGGGGTTGGAACGTAGGCTCAGTGCCCAGATGGGCCAGGCACCTTAGTTCAGAGGAACACTCAAGTTTGTTGGCTATGGATGATAAGACTACAGATCCCCCCCCTTTGCTACCCGAGGGAGAAGGTAGCAGTACAGATGACTCAACTTATTCTTATCTCCAAGACCCTAGAGGGCGCTCAGTATCATAACTGATGACCCACAAAGCAAACACAGGAGACCTGACTGTGGGGAAGATACTCCTCTTTTGGGGGTTATTTGAACATGGATGGCAGATAGAGGTGTGAGTAGAGCTGAACCCAGGTGCAGTACCCAGATGCAGGGTGAAGGCTGCCCATTGTCGGGCACTGGCGATGAATGCACCGCCCTCCACAGACAGGTACCGGGTAGAGACAGTCTGGGATCGAAGACGGTTGAAGAGAGACACCTTGGACCCGGAGGAGATGCATACTGTGGGGGAAGGGGCTGGTCAATGCTACCCGCTCAAGTTTAGCTCCTGTCCTTTTCCCACTACCCCTCAACATGGGAGTGGGTACTAGGTCTGTGCCTTATTCACAAGACCCTTCATTATCTCCTCATCCCTTCTTTGCCGACATCCCCTTAGTACCTAGATGATAGGAACAGGGCCTAAAACTGTGATTTCATTGTCATAGGGAAACTACTAAGTCAGGAAGCCCCCTCTGTGAAGGCAGATCAGGACCTTCACTGAAACTGAATAGTTTTATACAGTTGCCCAGAGCCCTGAGAGGGTGAGTGACTTCCCCAGAACAATGCAGTCAGTATGTACCTATGAGGAAGAGGACTCTACCAGCCTCCTGGCTCAGCTCTCTATAAACCATACCTTGCTGCCTTTCTATAGAGCTCAGGCAAGTATGATCCAGCTCAGATATAACGTGGGGAAACTCCCAAGATTTAGAGTCGGATAGCTCTAGGTCCAAATCCTGACTCTGCTACTCACTATGTAGGTTACTTTCAACAAATCTTTTAACCTCTCTGAGCCTTGATTTTATCTTGAAATCTTTTCTTAGCTCTGAATCCCATAATGTTACTTCTTACTTCTAGCCCTCATTCTTCTTTCCAGTCTCAGAGCCCAAAGAGCAGGTAAGACTTGGTGCTTTCATTGTCTAATTGTGAATCTTGTCTCCGCGGCCTGGGAACCAGTCACTTGACCTCTCTGGTCATCTCTTGAGCCCCCCAGGCCTGGATTCAGTGGGCTCTCCAACTCTGACTTTCTACTTTTGAGGGCTCATTCTAACTCTGAGATTTCATGACTCCGTGATTCCCTAGGCCCTACTCCCTCATTTTACACCACACCCTTTCCTTCACCCCCAGCTGTTTCTTTTTTCTCTCCCCTTTCCTAATCTGCAGCCCCACTTCTCAGGTCCAGGTTTATCCCCTAGCTCACGGTCTGTGTTCTTCAGGGACTGCTTCTTCTGAGATGGCTTGGAGATGACCTTGATGAGGCGACTGTGGAAGGTACCTAGCTCTTGGCCTCCTTGCAACACCAGCCTTAACACCAACCGGAAGTGCTTTCTCTTGTCCGAGTCCGAGATAAAGAGAGCTTTGGCGCAGGCGAATTCCTAGCCAGTCGGCGAAGTGGGCAGCTTTGCCTTTGTCCTGGGGCCAGCAGGCTCAGTGAAGCCTTGGCTACCCAGTTGAGGATGGCTTAAAGAGCCCCCAACCCAAGCTCTCCCAGTCACCCTGGCCCCCTTGGACTGCCCAGGTAGGTCCCCTTCCTCCCTAAGCCCACACCAGTCCCTCCCGTCCAGGTCCCTGCCCAAGGTCATTGTCTGGGGGAGGAGGAAATGCAGCACCCCCGGCCCCCGACAGTGGAGATGTGGGGCTCTGCTCAGCTTTCCCCTCCTCACTCTAGAGTCCGGTTGCTTCTCAAAGCTCAGCTTTTGCGCCTCCGCGGAACCGCCGTCCAACCCCATGTAACCGCAGACCGTGCATCCAGCCTCCCCAGTCTCGTTTGCTAGAATACACCGCAGGTGACTGATGAGACGAGGTTGGAATGTACCATACAGCGTACTCCTGTGCAGTGGACTCAAGGGGGCGCTGTGGAGCTGCGCCTTCACCGTCTCGTCCCTGCTGACTCCCAACCCCTGGCTGGATCTGGGAGAAGTTGTGGAGTTGGTCCTACTTCTCCCACTCACCTTGCCCCTGTTCCGGCTTCAGCCTCCAGCCTGGGCCCGTGAGATACACGCAGGGCGGCGGACAGAAGAACCTACGTGGAGAGGCTGTTGTCACCTCTGGGCCAAGGGAAGGACCGACTGATAGGGGCGGGGAAGTGCTTGGATATGTCCCAAACTGTTCCGAGTCCTCAGAAAGAATCTTAGAAATTATTTAGCCTGGTACAAAGTGGAAAGAGCCCAAGACTTGGGAGTCAAAGGAAATGGGTTTAGATCCTAGCTCTGAAACTTAGTAGCTCTGTGACCTTATCAAGTCACTTCTCTCTGAGTCTCAGTTTCCTCATCTGAAAAATCCACAGTAGACTTCCTACTACACAGTAGGTCTACATAGTAGACCCACCTTAGAGAGGTTTGTAAATAATCAGCTATACAAATAACTGATATCTATCTTTATTTTTTTTTATTGCTACCCAATAAAGTTCATATTACCCATGAAGACTTGGCTAAAGAAATGGAAGAAAAATGTTGGATCAGAAAAGGTGGGGCCACTGTATTTGGAAAAGGAAAAACAACCGATTCACACCTGGAGCACTGCCTGAGTATTCCTGAAACATTTGAAAGACTTAGAGGGAAACCTCAAAGGTAGGTCCCTCTGTAGAGGATTTATGGAAGAACAGGGACAAGAGTCCCAGAATGAAAAGTGGTGGATAGGTTACCATTTGTATGTATCAACAGAAGTATCAAGGGATAAAAATTAAAATTCACCTGACATTAAAGGCCCTCCACAATCTGAAGGCACCCTAACTCTTCAGCATGATCTCTGCTTTCTATTCTCCATGCATTGTAGATTCCAACCAAAGTAGAAGTCTTTGCTTCCCTAGGATATCTCATCTTCTCTCCCTTCCATGCCTTTGGTCACTCACTTCCCTATGCCTGCAGTGTCTCCTACCCCCACTTCATCTGTTGTTCTTATGAATAATATATCCCTTTAAGCCCAATTCAAATATCAGCTCCTCCTGTAAGTACCTTGAGGGCAGATACTTGCTTCTTTCTTTTCTGTGTATTCTTTTGTGTGTATTTCTTTTGTGTGTATTTCCAGCACTGAGGGCAGGACCTGGCATAGTAGGGTATAATCTTAAGAAACATTCATGGAATTGTATAGAATCAAAACCTTCCTTGAGCCCAAAGATAATAAATACCTTCCCACTCAGTCCTTGCACGACTTTTTACTTTTTTCCCCTCTGTTGTGCTCATGCAACTGTGTAAATTATTTTCATGTGTTTGCCTTATTCCCTCTTCTAGCAGGAGGAGGAGAAAGTGCTATCTCACGGAAACTGGGCACCTGCTCTGGGCCTGTGCTCTATACAAGAGTATGTGCTTAATATAAGTTTGTTGAATGAATTAGCTCCTTTAGTTGACAGTTGAGGAAACTGAGAAATTCCTTGCCCAAATCACAGAGAGTTGGTAGATGGGCTAGGTACAGCCTGGGGATGCTGCGGGGTACAGTTAGAATGGGAAAGGGAAAGCAGCCATTGTGGTTCCCCAGCTTTCTAATCACCCTCTCCTACCTCTTCTCGCTCCCATAGGACTTCTGGGCCACTTTGGCATGTAGAATCCTCACGGTCTGTTCTGACTGCATCTGTAGACATCTTCTCACCTGGCCTCGAAGGAGGGCTGATGGCTCTGGGGGTGACCTAGGATAAGGAAGAGAAGGGAAGAAGGGAAAGGAGGAGAAAAAAGAAGAAAGCAGCATTGAGGTCAGTAGCAAGGATCTATGAGAAACTTGGACTTGTCTTGAGGTTTCAGGAAAGTCTGGGTAACCAGAGGTGGGCAGGAAGGGGGAGCTGGGGCATCGCCACAGGCTGTGGTCTAAATATTTGGGCTGCTGCATGTTGAATGGGCCCTTCACAGAGCCTTAGCACTGGCCCCTCTGCAGTGCGACCACCCAGGCTCCCCCCAGCTGGTGTGGCTCAGTGCCAGGCCAGGCCAGTGGCAGAGGAAGCAGGGCCTACACAATAGCTGCTCTTGTGCTCAAATGTCAGCTGCCCTCTGCTCCAGCTCCACCCGCTCCTATTCTTGAGGGCAGAGAAAAAAGATCCAGGGAGAAGGGGGTGAATAAGGGTGTTGGGTGGTCAATAAATGACTGTGAAAAGGGCTAAATTGTCCCTGCCGGTACTTCTCTCCCTGTCTCCCCTTCCCCTGCATCCAGGTGTTGTCCCCTAGCACTGTGTCCAGACATCCAATGGAGAATCCATCCCATAGCATGAAGTCCCAAATTTTGGGGATGGGTGGTCCTACCTCTCACTTGTTAGACTGCTAGCAACCAACAACTAGATGCTCCTACCTCTTGTGGTGAGGGCCTGAAAACTTCAAGCCCAGTCCCTCCCAATACATTTCCCTCCCTGGTCCTAGGGAGACCAAGGGACTATGGCTTAGTGGGCACAGGGGTAGATGCCTGCTGGATCCCAGGGACCTAACTGAAAGGTTCTAAAAAAAAAAAAGGAAGGAATAGGGTCCCAAATCCCACCCATACCAGACCGGTTCCTGGACAGAAAAGAGGGTCGTGCATATTTCACAGTTGCTCCCACTTTGGCCTAGCCTTTTTTTTTTTGTTAAGAGGTTCAGAAAGCACCCCTGCGACCATTCTGCTAGAACTAGTGCAATTTCTATGCTGAAGTGGTGCTGGGGGCTCCCAGGAGACAGAGAGAAATGGGACCGTTTTTCCAATTCATCCAGGATGACCCAGCTGCATCAGGTCACGGAGGTAGTGAGCCGGCTCATCCTGTCTCTTTTGGACAGCCGGATATGGGAGCTTGGGTGTCTCCAGGGAATCCGCTAGGGGTAAGGGTGGGGGCCGGTTATCCGAGGTTGCACAGATCAGGGGAGGCCCGACGAGACTGAGGAAGACTGGCACTTTTCTCCGCGAGCCTCCGGTTCTCCCAAATCCCGGAGCACTTAGCACAACACCTAGCATATGGCTGGTGCTCAATAAGTGCTTTTTTGACTGACTGGCGCCTGGTATCGTCATTCCAGGTCTTCCGGGCAGGATCACCCTCGGAAATACAGTGCTCCCGCTCCCTGTCCAGCCCTTCTCTGGAGCAGTCCAGAAGAGGAATGTGTTGTTGGAATTCTCTTGCATTCCAGCAGAAACTGGCTATCCTCCCCTCCCTACGCTGCAGAGCTGAACTGTGTGTCGGCAGAGAACCGAGTTTCAGTGAGTCTTGATTTCTCTGCGACGAGAGCGTAGCGAGGTCCCCTACCCCACTACAAACACACACACACACACACACACACACACACACACACACACACACAGACACACACAGACACACCCTCACACGGTAACATACGTGCACACACCACCGGCCCCGCCCCTTAGCTGGGTCTGTGAAGTCCCCCCTTCCACCCCTCCGAGAGGCGAGGGGTCTCTCGAGTTTCAGTAGGAGGGGTCGACTGCTCCCCTAGCCCCCGAGTTAAATGCGACCTACGCTGCCACTCCCTTCAACCTCGACCCGGGGGAAGTAGCCCACTTGCTTCCCTACCTGTTCCAGCAGGACAAGGGGCTCGGAAAGTCTGTTTCGTCTTGTCTCTGATTCTCGGAGCTCTCTAGCCTGCCCAGGTGAGTGAGGGGCCCTGGGGGCAGCAGAGGGTCTGCACAGAAATCGCAAGTCTTTTAATTTAGAGAAATATTCCACAGAGTCAGCCTTGGACTCTGATCTAGGGTGTCCCCCAAGAAAATTCTCCCGCTTTGGTGGTGATTTCCTTATACGACAAAAGGGTTAACTTCTTTATCTTGGGGAGAGATTGTTCACTGATCTTTTCCTGTAACCTTGGGGACATTGCCTAATGGTACTCATTCCAGATCTTACCGTTACTGGGGCACCACACAGATATGAGCCCTTTATCTCAAGGTCCCACAGTTAGTGAAGTAGGCACTGTAAATCCTTCAAAGTTCTAGGAATCAATCAGACCCTTACCTCTTATCTAATGGACTATGTTACCGCACAGTCCACCTTTTTAAAAAGAAATCCTTCTCTGAACCTAAAAAATTCCTTCAATTGGACACCAGTGAGAGGGAACCCCAATTTTTCTCCTAAACCCAGAGATCTCTCATACATATCACCCATATCAGTCTCAATTACCTGTGTTACCCATCCTCCTCAAACAAATTCCTCTTCTGAATGATTGTAGATGAAAGAGAACTGGGCTGGGCAGAGCAGTGTCAGGAGACCTGGCTTCTAGTTCGGTCTCTGCCCTCAAATGTGATATGGCCCAGTCATTTTCCTTCTCTGAATTTCAATTTCCTCTTCCATAAAATGAAAGGATTGGACCAGACAGTCTCCAAGGTCCCTTCCAGCTTTGATACTCTGTAATTCTCAAAGCCATAGGAAAGGTAGAGACCAGATGGCAGGGCAGAGTATCATGGTTTCATGTTAGAGCAGGGAATTGTGGAGAGAGCATGGGGGACCTTGGGATGACCCAAAAGTAGTTGCCACGTGGATCTCTTGACCCTAGATGGAAGTCTTGGTTGGTGGAATGAGGAGAGGGTGAGAAGGACTGAATCAGACCCTTAGAATGTTAGTGCTAGAAGGGATCTTAGGACATAGAACAGCTGGAAGAGATCTTAGAACAAGGAATTCTAGAGCTGGTTGACTCCTTCAAAGTCCAACCTCCTAAATCTGAAGAAGAGGAGACTGAGATTCAGACAGGGGTAAAGGCTTCTCCAAGGTCACACATCAGGTTAGTAGATCTTCTGACTTCCAGTTCAAGGGGTCCTTCCACCAGACTAAATTTATTCTCAAGAAAAACAGTCGTGAGAAGGGTAAAAATGTGAGAAGGAAGAGGAAAGGATGACTGCTCCCGGAGCTCCAGCCAAGCACCCCCCAGGGATGCTGTTGCCTTTTCCTGGTCAAACCAGAGGAGCTCGCTCCTTCTGGCGCTCCTTCTCCTGCAACTCGCACATCTGGATTCAATACGATTGCACGTGACTGCCCTCAACCTGACCATAAGGGTCCCAATGAGCACAGGTTGGCCAGCCACTGTTTGGGAGCTTTTTTTCTCTCTTAAATCCGAGCTCTACCAAGACTCTAGCACCCTTAGTAGGCTGGCCCCGGAAGCCTGGCTAAAAATAGTTCCATTCACCAAGCCACGCGCCAGAGCTGGGGGAAGCCAGCTGGAGCAGTGAAAGGAGAGGGGTGGGGCCTGAGCCAGCCTCTTTCTGAGAGAGAGAGAGAGAGAGAGAGAGAGAGAGAGAGAAGAGAGAGAGAGAGAGAGAGAGACAGAGAGAGACAGAGAGAGACAGAGAGACAGAGAGAGACAAAGAGAGACAGAGAGAGACAGAGAGACAGAGAGAGACAGAGAGAGACAGAGAGAGAGAGAAAGACAGAGACAGAGAGGAAGGAAGGAAGGAAGGAAGGAAGGAAGGAAGGAAGGAAGGAAGGAAGGAAGGAAGGAAAAAAGACTTGGAAAGTAGGACCAGTGGGTACACTCTGGCTGGCCTGGAACCTTCACCTCATCTCTGAATGGAGGCTGCTCAGCCGGGCAATAGTTTGCTATAGAACACAGGTTGAACAAAACCTCCCAATTCCAAATTGTGAGTAGACTCAAATACAGAAAGGCTTGAAGTCTGGGAACCTAGATTCTAGTCCTGGAACTTACAGTAATTGGTTTCATAACCTTGGACAAGTAACTTTTCATCTTTGGACCTCAGTTTCCTCTCCCATAAAAGAAGCAATTTTTTTCTAGCTCTGATATTTTAGATTCAAAGGTGAAGACTCCAAGTCAAGCCGGAGGAGTGCCCCTGGGGGACTGGGGGCTTTCAATTGCGTGTGTGTGGTGGGGGACAGGTTCTCTCACCCATTCCTCCCGGGGGATCCATGGCCGCACTCCTGGAGCCCGAGGCCTACGAACCCCGGTTACTCGCAATTCTGAGCTCTCACAAGCTCTCGCTTTCTACCCCTCTGGCCCCCCAGCACTGCGCTGCATCCCCGCCCCCTCCTGTCTTGCTATTTCCATTCTGGGCACCTTATCTCCAAGGCCTTGGGACTGCTCCCCGCCCAGGCCCACCTCCCCGCCTCCTCCCCCTATGTTTGCTCTAGGCTCTGGCACCTGCTCCGCAGCTGCTGCCTTCCCATGCTGGCTGCTAGGTGTTTGGCCCTAGGTGTTAGGGCTGCCGCTGTTTGACCTGAATGGAGTCCCTTGAGCAGCGCACTGGAGGTTGGGAGTTAGGAGGCGAGAATAGCCACCAAAGAAGCAGGCCACACTGTCTGCAATTGGCTTCTGCATGGGGTTTCCCCAGCTCTCTAGGAGCTAGACATCTAACAGCAGTGCTTAGGCCAAAGTTTGTCTTGGCTGCCCCATTCCCCTAACCCCCTTCCTCCCGAGGGCATGGCCCTCCCTTGTGGCCTGAGGTCTGGAACAGGAGTCTGGGGGTGGGGAACTGACGGTAGGTGGGAAGCCGCACAATAATGTGCCTTGTCAGCCTCATAGTTAGTGGGAGCTGGGGGAGAAAGGGGAGGAGACCCGAGCAGTGGCAGGTAAGGGAGGGGAGAAAAGGGGAAGTGCCAGGAAGCAGGGCCCAGCTGTTTCAGGCTCTTGGAATGACTACTTACTTCCCAGCCTTTCTTTTCTAGGTTACGTCTCAGCTTCTTTTTTGAACACCCTTTGTAAGCACCATGAGGCTAACTCGCTATGCACTGTTGCTTATCCTTTTACTGGTTTCTGTGAATGCTGAACAGCAAGCTGCTCCAGGTAAGTTGAGGATGCTGCTCGACCACAATCAGGTGAGCTAGGGGTGGGGGCATTCATTCAGTCATTCATTCAATTATGCATAGAGATCTTGCTGTGTGAAGAGCCCTGGGCGAGAAGTTGGGAATCTCTGAAGTTAGGATGGGACTCAGGATTCCTCCTTTGTGTCTGCTTGGGCCATTTGTTGGTTCCTGTTCCCCACCCCAGTAGAGGGTGGAGCTCACAGCTAGCTCCCCGGATTCATCTTTGGGAAAGCTACCAGTCACCCGACCTTCTTCCCTTCTCTTCAGCAGGCTCGAAGTGCAGGACAGGACCCCTGGACTTGGTATTCCTGATAGACAGCTCCCGTAGTGTGCGTCCTTTTGAATTTGAAACAATGCGTCGTTTCTTGGTGAACATTATTAGGGGTCTAGACATTGGTCCCAATGCCACCCGCGTTGGCGTGATCCAGTACTCAAGTCAGGTGCAGAGCGTCTTCCCTCTGGGAGCTTTCTTCCAAAGAGAGGACATGGAACGTGCCATCCATGCCATTGTCCCCCTGGCACAGGGCACCATGACGGGCCTGGCCATTCAGTATACCATGAATGTAGCCTTCAGCGTCGCCGAGGGTGCTCGCCCTTTGCAGGCCCAGGTGCCTCGTGTCGCTGTTATAGTGACTGATGGACGTCCGCAGGACCGGGTAGCCGAAGTGGCTGCCCAGGCAAGGAATAGGGGTATAGAGATATATGCAGTAGGAGTACAGCGCGCTGACGTGGGGTCCCTGCGCGCTATGGCATCACCTCCGCTGGATGAGCATGTTTTCCTCGTTGAGTCCTTCGACCTTATACAACAGTTCGGCTTCCATTTTCAAGGTCGATTGTGCGGTAAGCAAGGCCTAGGCCTCGAGAGGGAGAAGACCTCTGTCTTGGTAACTGAGCCTCGATTTAGCCACACCCAATCTCCCAAGGTCCGGCCCACTGCCACATCTGTTATTACTCGAGGCCTTCCCACAAGTTCAGCTTATCTTTACCCCATCCATTTCCTGGCTCAGCCCAGGACCTGAACCTTTAGGTTAAACTGGTTTCATCCCTTCACTACTTAAGTTCTTCCTCCCATGCTGCCAGAAAGTGCATGTTGAGTCTCTCACAGACCCCATTCAGAGGTGCTGGCCTTTCCCACCCTAGCCCAGATGATGCACACATGCCTCACTCCCACAATTAGGATACAGGACCTGTCCCCTTCTAGCTCTGGGGCTTTCTGCATGTGAATCATTCAGTCTACCGGCTCTGCCTCATCTTATGCACTTTTCTCTCCAGTCCTCTCTTTCTCCTCACCGAGTGTGAAAGTGGGGTGGGATGGGACAGCTCAGAGAGCAGCGAGAAGTCACAACTGACACCCCCCTCTCCCACCATGGTCCTATGTCCCCAGGCGAGGACCTGTGCACAGACGGGACTCATGGCTGCCAGCAACTGTGCGTCAGCACACCAGGCTCCTTTCACTGTGCCTGCAACCCCGGTTACCGTCTGGCTCTGAATAACAAGAGCTGCTCTGGTGAGACGCTTCCTCTAGGAAACAGTAAAGTCCCATTGTGACCTGATCAATTCCATTTAATTCGATTTTTATTAAGATCCTTCTATGTGCTGGTGATATAAAGATGAAAAGCACCAGTCACTTTCCTTTAGGAGTTTGCAGCTTAGTAGATGTGTGTGACATAAACACAAATACACATGAAACCAGAAAGATTAAACTTGCTTAAACACCATCAGAAGCATCCAGATAGGTCAACACATAGGAAGGTGGACCTGGAGTCAGGAAGACCCAAGCTCAAATCTAACCTCAGCTACTTACTAGCTGTGTGAACCTGGGCAAGTCACTTAACCTCTGCCTCAGTTTTGGGGTTAGCTAACTGCTTCTGTGGATAGAATGGTGGGCCTGAGTCAGGAAGACATCTTCCTGAGTTCAAATCTGGCCTCATACACTTCCTAGCTGTGGGACCCTGGGCAAGTAACCCTGCTTGCCTCAGTTTCCTAATCTATAAAATGAGCTGGAGAAGGAAATGGCAAACCACTTCAGTATCTTTGCCAAGAAAATCCCAAAAGGCATCAAGAAGAGTGACAGTAATGAACAACAACAAACACCACCATAGTCAGGCACCCCAGGGACCTAGAAACAACACTAGGCCCTGGAAGTGAGGACAGCAATGTTCTATTCTTGGATCAGTTGCTTCTCGTCTTAGATTTTTAATTTCCTCTGTAAAATTAAAGGACTGGACAAGTCATTATCTCACCCTCTAAGGCTCTTTCCAGCTGTAGCATTCTATGATTTTGTGACATTGCCCCTCTCAGAAAACCTCTACTGAAATGCCCCCGGCTGGCTTTCCTTATTGGGCCTCATTGTATTTTTCCCATCTTTTAATGATGTATGGTTAACAAAGGCACTTTCCTTACAACTACCAGTGAGGAGGTTAATGCAAATATTACCATCATTTAATAGGCTAGAAAGTTGAGGTTCAAAGTAGACAAGTGTTTCAACTTGCTGTTCTGGCAACTTATGCTTCATTCCTTCAGTGGTCCCTTAGAGTCTTTATAGTTTTATTTTAATTCAGGTGTGCAAATTCCCTCCATGAATTTACCTCTGTAATTCAAACACAACATATGGTTTTAAAGAATTGCCTGAGGCACTGAGAGGTTGAATGATTTGCCAGTAGTCTGGCAGCTAGTATGTTACATGTTAAAGGCACAACTCAATGCAGGTTTAACGATTTCATTCATAGCCATTAGATTAGATGCTTAGTGCCCATACCCTATAATTATGTATGTATGTATGTATGTATGTATGTGTATATGTAGTCATTTACTATTTCTTTCTGAGCATTTGTCTCCCCATTAGGCAATAAGCTCTCAGAAGGTAGGATCCATGTCTTAAACTACTCAGCATTCCCTCTAGGATCCCAAACAGGGCACATAAGACAGGCTCTAAGCAAAGAGCTTCTTGACAGACCTAGTGGTCAGTGTTTGAGAAAGGGCTTCCCCACAATTCAATTCAAGGTCCTACTAGGCTTAAACCTGGGAATATGGACTGTAACTCTAGGCCCAGATAATAAGGACATATGGGACTATCTCCTTATTAGTGGAGATCAGTGCCCTGCAAAAGATGAAGAAGGCCTTCAAGTCTTTTAGGAGGGATGAGCTGTGTACAATTAAGTGTCATGCAAGGTAATATTAGCTCATGCTTCTTCATCATTTTGAGAGTTGCAAAGGGTTTTTTCCTGACAGGACTGAGAGGTAGTGCAAATATGACTGGCATTTTACAGATGAAGAAACTACACAGTTAAGTTAGAAAGCGTCAGGGCTAGATTCTGCCCTCAGGGCTCTCAACTCTGTCTAGCACTCTTCAGTTTATACTGAAATGGAGATCCCATGTACTCTAGGAATTGGGGAGGAGGTGAGGCTCGGAAGAGGGATCAGGAAAAATTGTGGATTTTATTAAGGAGACCTCTCTTCTCACATAGTCATTGATCATTGTGAGGAAGGGACCCACGGCTGTGAGCACCTCTGTATCAAATCCGACGGCTCATACACCTGCGGCTGCCGAAAGGGCTATGCCCTCCACTTGGATCAGAGGCACTGCACCGGTGAGTGAGAAGCGAAGTGCCCGTGGCCCCAGCAACCCCTGCGCTGCTGCGTGTCCCCGCCCTGAGTGGCCTTCCCTGTCTACCCTTTTGCCAGTGATTGATCACTGCAGCTTTGGAAATCACAGCTGCCAGCACGAGTGTGTCAGTTTTCCAGAGGGACCTCGCTGCCGTTGCCGCCAAGGCTTTGACCTGCAGCCGGATGGCAGGCGCTGTCAGCGTAAGGAGGGTGGCCTTGGTGTGAGTGACTGCGTGCCTCTGAGAATGTAGGGGTAGCTGGGAGAAAGGTGGGCGGGAGGAGGGAAGACAATGTCCGAGGAGAGAGGAAAGAAGAGAAGAAAGGGGTGAGGGTGACGTCAAAGAGCTTGCTTGGAGAAAAAGGGGAGCCCGTCTCCTTATGCGCTAGGGAAAAGGGGATCCCTTGGAATACAGGCCCGAGGGGAAGAGCAGCAGTCGCTCCACTCTGATGGGGGTGGGTATCTGTTTCAGCCCGAGACTACTGCAATGGCATAGACCACGGTTGCGAGTTTCAATGCGTGAGTTCGGGAAGCTCTTACCGTTGCATTTGCCCCGAGGGCCGGCAGCTCCAGGCTGATGGGAAGAGCTGTGACAGTGAGTTAATAGGGGGAAGGGAGCGCACACAGGGAACCCCCTACATAGAAAACTGGAGACTGTTCGGTCCCTGATGCCCTCTACGAGGCTCCCTTTGGCACCCTCCAGACCTGCCCCTCGATTGGCTTCTTCTCCCACAGGGTGCCGAGCGGGCCATGTCGATCTGGTTCTGGTAATCGATGGCTCGAAGAGCGTCCGACCCCAGAACTTCGAGCTGGTGAAGCGTTTCGTGAACCAGATAGTGGACTTCCTGGACGTGTCCCCTGAGGGAACACGTGTGGGGCTGGTGCAGTATTCGAGCCGCGTGCGCACAGAGTTTCCTCTGGGTCGCTATGGAACCGCAGACGAGGTGAAGCAAGCTGTCCTGGCTGTGGAATATATGGAGAAAGGCACCATGACCGGGTTGGCGCTGCGCCACCTGGTCGAACACAGCTTCTCCGAGACTCAGGGAGCTCGGCCCCGAGCCCAGAATGTACCACGCGTCGGTCTAGTCTTTACCGATGGCCGCTCCCAGGATGACATCTCAGTCTGGGCCGCCAGGGCCAAGGAGGAGGGTAGGACCAAGGAGGAGGGGTGGGGAGATTCGGAGATCTATAGAAAGGCTATCCTGAAAAAGAGGGAATGGATTCATAGTGAAAAGAGCCTTGGGGTCCGAGAATATGGGCTCTGATCCCAGTTTTGACCGTTACTACCTGTGTGACCTTGGACACCTCCCCTCTCTGGGCCGCAGTTTCGGCATGCATAAAATGAAGCGGTTGGGCTAAAAGATCTTCTAACTCTAAATTCCATGATCTTCAGGGGATGCCCCCTGTCCCCAAGTGGAGGGGCAGTATCTTACTTCTTTGAGGTCCTGGATGTGGGGGTTCCCCCCTGGTTCTTACCCCAAGTGTCCCTGGTCCTTAGGCATCATCATGTTCGCGGTGGGGGTAGGCAAGGCGGTGGAGGAGGAACTGAAGGAGATCGCATCAGATCCCCCAGAGCAGCATGTTTCCTATTCGCCTGACTTTAGCACTATGGCACATCTGCTGGAGAACCTGAAAGTCAACATTTGTCCTGGTGAGAAGAGCCTCCCCAACAAAGAAAGGCAGCCAGTGTCAGCCCCAATTAGCGCTGCCAGTCTCCCTCCTCTCTTCCCTCTGGTGTAGTGGAAAACTCATTAGACCAAGGGTCTAGGCCCAGGAGTGGGGAACCTGCATCCTCAAGGCCACGTGTGGCCCTCTAGGTCCTCAAGTGTGGCCTTTTGACTGAATCGGAAGTATGGCCCTTTGACAATCTAAACTTCCAAACTTCAGATTCAGTCAAATGGCTGCACTTGAGGACCCAGAAGGCCACACGTGGCCTCGAGGCCTCAGGTTACCCACCCCTGGCTTTAGCCCTATCCCTGCCGCTAATTCGATCTGATACTTTAGGCAAAGTAGCTTCCTGTCTCTGAGTCTCAATTAACTTTTCTGTAAAAAGGAAGGTAGGTGGGGTTGTACTTGATGTTGGTGAAGGTTAGCAAGGGCCCTGGGTTTGGAGTCAGAAAATATGAGTGAAAATCTCTACTCCCCTACTTACTATCTTCGTGAACCTGGGTAAGTCATTTCAATCAAGCAAGCAACAAGCATTTAGTAAAAGCTTGCTATGTGCCGGGCACGGCGCTCCACCTTCACCTGGTTCAGTTTTCTCCTCTGTAAAATGAAGGGGTTGGATGGATATCGATGCTCCCTAAGTTCCTCTGTGTTATTCTAAAGTTCCCCAGTCCTGGGCTAGATGGAGTAGGATTTGGGGAGCAGAGTTTTGGGGAGCTAGTTATCTTTGCGTGGCCCAGGATCTGCTGTTCTTTCTTCGGTTCCACAAAGAGGAAGTACTGCTCATTTGGCCTCCCTATGTCTTGGTTGCAGAGGAGGGGAAAGGGGTCACTGAGCTGCGCAGCCCTTGCGACTGCGAGAGCATCGTGGAGTTTCAAGGCAGTGCTCTAGCAGCGCTGGGGAGTTTGGAGCAGAAACATATCCTCTAGAGCTCATGGCAGGGACCGGGGGGAGAGGCGGGGTCTGAAGTTTCAGACAGCCCCAGGGTGGTGAAGCCCCAAAGGTATTCCAAGATCCAGTGGCAGGCTCTAGCCCGGGGTAGGGGTCTGAGGCTGGGAAGGGGAATAAAGACCAGAGAATTTCCTTAACTACACCACTGACCCAGCTGACGGCTCGATTGGAGGACCTGGAGAATCAGTTGGCCAACCAGAAGTAAGGGTCGGCAGCAGCTCGGACCCAGGCCTGCTTTATAGCCTCTCTTCTGTCTTTCCCCACCCATCCGGGGGACTAGGCCATTTGTGCCGGCAGCCTCCACAAATGGGCTAGCGCGCTAGAAAAGCACCGGAGGCCTGTGTCGCTCCCGCACACTTCAATGAGACTCAGGCTGGCAGAGAGCGGCGCAGGCTTCACCTACAAAAAGCTTGGGTTAGCCGCAATTTCGGCGTCGGAACTCCGATGACAGTATCCCCTGGCAGGGGCCCAGACCCAGGCCCTTCCATTCACTGTGTATTTATGTATTATTGGGGGGTTTTTTCCTATTTTTTTAAAAATAAAAACCTTATTGCTCCTCCAGTTGCTATGTTAGTGTGTCTAGCCGCTGTTCTACCGCTAGAAAGCAGGAGGGCCGGGCATCACTCCCCATCCCGCGAGGATCACCCAGCACCTCACGGATAGTGGAGAGTGCAGTCCAGTCCCCGCCTCCAGCCAGCCCAAGCTGCTCGGCGCCGGGGCGTCTCCCCAAGAGAAAGGCTCTTTGTGTGGGGGGCAGGCTGGCGGGGCCCGGTTTCCCAGCGTTTTGTTTATTCAGTGGAGAACAGATGACTCCTTATGAGCTGAGCTGGGTCTGGGGGTAGAGACCTGTTGCAGGGGAGAGGCAAACGGCGGCAGGAAGTTTCCCTCTCAGCGAACCCCCAGGGAGCCTGTAGCTCTGGCCGAGCTGTTAAGACAGCCCACTGAAACCCATTAAGTTTTCTCCACTGCAGGTTACCGTTCGGAAAGAACTGAGGTTTGATTGTGTGAAGGGCTACTGAGTCATAGACGAAGAACACTGGGCCTGTGAATCTCGGTTCGAATTTAGGGTGCATCACTTGCTAGCTGTGAGACGTTAGGCATCCCATTTTTCTCTCTCGGCCTCAGTTTCGCCGTCTGCAAAATCAGAGAGTTGGCGGACTAGCTGATCTTTAAGGTGCTTTCTGGTTCTAGACGTTATTTTCTCTCTCCTGAGAACAATTCTATTCTCCTTAGCCACAACTTACCCCTGTTCAGCGCATCCCAACTGCCCGAGGGTCTGTCTGGTCCTCAACGTCCTCCACACTGTCCCGAAGATTAGTCCAGGTGACAGCACGCAAGTTGTGCAGCCTTTGTTAGCAAACATGGTTCCCCGAGCCCTTTCTCTTCCTCTCGGTGGACTGAAATTCACTCACTTTTTCTCTTCCCTGGACTCAGTGTAGACATGAATCAAATCTAGTAGAGGGCACTGGTTTTAGGGCTGGATTATAGCTGTCTCATCCCCAGGCCCCAAAGACTGTGATGTGACTTGTTCTCAAGGTTGGAGAAAGGTTGGGATCCCCAGCGCAGCACGTGCATTCGAGGATCAACAATCCATTAAGACCGAGGAGGAGCTGACAATTTTTTTTTCTGCCTCAGGCTTCCTTCACGGCCACCAGGTGGCGCGATGAACTACTGTTTGATCCAGCCTAGGCCAAGGGATGCTAAGTTTCTTGGCAAAGGGAAAGGGAGAACAAGATTGTTCTGGGCTCTGAGACCCGTGGCCCAGTATCTTTCTCCCATTTTCCCACGGTCAGTTGCCAAATCCTAAAGCTGCAGCTTTCTGTTCTCTTTGGGCAAGACTGTGATTTCCTTGGTGTAGAGAACACCCAGTGAGACAAATTCCCCAAACTAGTGTAGCTTCCTACCTGTTTTTGCAGCTCGTAGTCTTAGAGAGATGCCTGGGTTACTGAGGAGTTGTCTGAGGGTCATCCAGCCAGCACGGTTCAGAGGCTGCTCTTGACCCCAGGGCTCCCTGACTCCACCCACCGTGCTGCCTCATCCTTGCTGTCTCCTGAAAGGAAAGTAAACAGTGCAAAGAGTGGGTCTGGAGTCAGAAAACTGAGTTTGATGGACAGGTGTGCCATTAGCTTTAGGAAAGGCCTAAGGCCAGAGACTTTCCCTTTCTGGGTCTCGCTTTTCTCCTCTGTAAATGAGGGAGTTGGACTAGCTTCCTTCCAGCTAAGACACTTTGTGTACTAAGGTCTCCTCCAGCTCTGGCATTCTACCCTCTATGTTCCAAGTTTCTTTCCAATCCAGCTCTGATCCCTAAGATTTTAGAGTAGGTCAGTCGAACTTATCTGTCCTATTGGCTGTCACCAAGCCAGAGGGTTGGGCAGTGTATAGAAGGATCCAGTCTTTGGTTTATCTGCCTGCAGTTTTCTCTCAACCCTATCCCCAAATTACTTGTGGTTGGACTCTGCTTTGGGCCTGCCAAGGATAGGGCTGAGGTAGCAGGACAGAGGCAGATCCATAAGGCACCCAGCCTGGGAGTTTTGGACTAAAGAGGGGTGGCTAAGTTCATGCCATAGGAGGAGCCCTAGTGATCATCTCCACATATTTAGTGGGGAAATAGTATAGCTCTGATTCCATCCAGAGGTTTTCCATCTGTCAGATAGCTACTATTAAGGGAGGCAGTGACTTCATGATGGGAAGGAGGAAAATGGACTCAGCATCGTGCTTCAAGTAGGGAATGGACTAGATGATCTTTAAAGGTCCCTTTTTACTAAGATTTGAAGAATTCATGAGTTTTCAGATTCTGTGTTCACAGTTGTCAATGTCACAGTATCAAATCCCATTCAGGGACTATTAGTCCAAAACTCTGTGAGTCTAGTTCTGATTCTAAGATTGAATGAGTCCAAGTCTATCTGATCCAAAGATTCTCTTTCTCATGTTTTATCAGGCTATGGTAGGACTGGGGACACCCTGAGGGAGCAGGGAGAAGAGGGACCTGGTGGGAGGTCTTATCTTCTCTGTCCCCTCTCAGTCTGTTCTGCCCCCCCCCTACAAGCAGTGGGTCCCCTCTGCTAATCAGAAGCAGGATTGAGGTTGTCACTGTGCCCTGCTTTGGCACTGTTTCCCTCCCTCCCGCCTGCACCCCATGGCCAGGGTTGAGCACCTGTAAAAAGGTTAGAGAAACAACAAACACAATGGCTATCAGTGAAACTGTCAAAGGACAGTTGAGTCAGCAAAGGGGAGGAGAAGGAAGAAGAAATAGGAGACTGGAGACCATGGCATGCATAGATTAGATGAAAGCACTTGGGATATTTTATTTGGAGGGTACTTGGGGGTGGAGGCTGGGACAGACTTGGCAGCTGCCTTCAAGTAGTTGAAGAGCTGTCCTGGGGAAGAGGGGATTGACCTGTTCTGTTTGGTGCCAGAAGGGAGAACTAAAACCACTGGCCACAGACAGGCAGATCTTAGCTCAGTGAAAGAGAATGTCTGAGCAAATGGAGTTCCATGAACATGGAGGTATTATACAGAGACTGGATGACTGGTTACTTATCAGGAATCTTATCAAAGGGCTTCTTGCCTCAGACATGGGGATGGTCTAGGTTACCTCAGAGTTCACTGTCTATGAGGTAAATTTATGTTTCCATTTATAAATTTGCATTTCAATATAATTGGTTTGCTTTTTATCCTTTGTTTTTACTCTTTGAATTCAAAAATATTCTTCTCAGCAGAGGTACCTAAATTTTACCCCCCCCCCAAAAAAAGTTCAGGACTGATGCTTAGGCGTATCAGAGGAAAAATGAAGCCCTCCTAGAGTAGTTTGTATTTTAACATAAGACTCTTAACAGGATTTGTTGGCAATATAGCTGACCAATGGGGAAGTACTTGAAGGAAGGCTATCATAGTAATGCCTAGTCCATATATGCTTTACAAGAGTTCCACTCCTCCTGAATCTAAAGGCCATCACGCATCATCCAATAGCTAATATAGTACATGTAGCATAAGGCAATCTGAGGGATGCAGAGTGGTCATCATTAATGCAATGAACAGAGTAGAATGGAGCTAATATAAGAAAACTTCTTGGCAGGGTTAAATTTTGAGCAGAAGTTTCAAGAAGGGATGGTGAAGTAGGGGGAGGGTGTTATTTGACTAATGAGGCTAAAAAAGAGAGTATAAGGAGGAAAGTCATCAGAACTGGGATTGAGAGCCTGGGACTCTGAAAGCCTGGGGAACATTCCAGTTTGAAGGTCACTCAAGTTCTCACCTATCATCACCTTGGACTGTGCTAGGACTTCAAACATATTCCCTTCCCTGAACTACAGCTCTGTCTTCCTTCCTCTCCAGGGTACTTTCTAGTAGGACAGATTGGACTGACTTAGAGGTGTATGACTCTAGTTCATAATAAGGGAGGCAATGCTGGCTGGAGTATTGGGGGTCAAGATTTCCCCCCTCTTTTCTCTTAGATACTTCTTTCACATTTAAGGTGTCAGTAAGTGTTTCCCAACTTTTCCTCTACCACATTTGTTTGTTTCTTTAGCTTTTCCAGGAATTCTTGTTGGGCTTGTATCCAGTGTGCATTTTTCTTTTGAGGCTTTGCTGTTTTCATGTTGTTGTCTCCTTCTCAGTTTGTGTCTTGATATTCCCTAGTACCATAGCAGCTTTTTATGGTCAGGTTATTTTTATTTGTTTGTTTGCTCATTTTCTAGCCTATTTCTTGACTTTCAATTTTATGTTAGTTGAGCTCTGTTCCTTGAGTGGGGGTGGGGCGCTGTACCAAACTTCAGGTTTTTACTTGCTGCTGTTTTCAGAGCTAGTTCTGGGAGTCTGTAAGCTCTTGGTGTTTTTAAGGTGACATGATCAGGGAAGAGATGTGGTCCCTGTTCTCCTGGTCTGTGCTCTGATCTTTACCCAGGAAGGGCCTCTGCTCCCTTGCAGATGGAGTCTCCTTAGGGACAAATGCAAGCAATCCTCTTGGTCCTGAAACTGAGACAAGTGTCTCTGTTCCCCTGCAGCCTCAAGGGCTAGTTTTTCTCTCTGTCTTGGATTTGAGACCTGAAACTGTGTAAAACAGGGTCCTGCAGCCAGTGGAAGCTCAGGGTCCCCTCTCATCTCTTTCTGAGCAGTTGGCTGAGAGCTTCAAAGCTAATGCTGATGCTATGACCATTACCTCCAAGACCCACCACTGGTGATGGTGCCACCTGTGCTCTGTCCCCTTCCCCCTCCATGTTCCAGACCTTTTTTGGTGACCTCCTAAATTACCATAGGTTAGAAAAATGTCTCACTCCTACCTTTTGTTGACTCTACCATTCCAGGATGATCTTTGACAGACTGGTTGTAAATGTGTTTGGAAGCGAATGTGGGAAGGTCCTGGCTGGGGTGCTACTTTGCTATTTCTATTCTGCCTTCTTGGCTCTGCATCTTGGCTCTGCCAATGAGTGCTAATAGTTCACAGTGTGATTTTTCCTAGGAGACTTTAAATGATAATTTAGGGCTAGTTAAGAAATAAAGTTCTAAGTCAAAGGAATGAAGGTTTAAGGGTGGCATTT